TATATAATTAATAAAATGACTGCAGTTCTGTCGTACAAATAATTAAATAAATAAATATCCCTCCGCGGCCTCTGAATAAACAGCCAATTGAAGTCCCAGAACTCCCCCCGCCTGAAGTCATTGTTTTTGCTCTTGAGTTATTCCCATGCTACCCTTTTTGACGGGTCACTGGTGAATCAATGAGCAGGTGGCAAAACGTCAGTGTAATTACATCCACGGCTTTTCCCTCCACAGTGGAGGAAAAAAGCACCCTCATATGCATACAAATATAGTCCCTTCTTCTAGATTTGAATACAAAATCTTCACCCCGAAAAAAAAAATCACTTTTTTTTCATCTCTGCTGAGGTCGATTTACATACACTTCATTTGAGTTGGTGAAACGAGTTGGTGCGCATTATTCTCATGCTGCAGTGTCACTCCCTAATCCTGGGGCCTATAGACCTGCGGGATAAAGCAGCTGTCGAGTCCCATTATGAAGTGGAGTTGGCAGCTTGTCGAGATCCAGGCAGTCAGACGAGGTTCAATGGGAGAAAATCATTAAGTTAACACTTTCCCCTAATGTCTCCATTGTGCGCCCTCGGACCATTGTCTTAGAAAGCTCAGATATGACGCTTCCCACCGGACTTTATTCTTGAAATATGCCTAGTGAATTCCCATGGTCATGGTTGGATGAGGCGCGCGGCGTGCGTTTTGTTTGAGTCATTTGTTGGACAGTTTGTTTGTTGCGCCTTTTCACAATTTGCTCTATTTTGAGTCACAAACAAACTTGAATCCTAATTTGGATCCAATTATCCTCAAATTGTACTTTCAGACTTTGTGCTTTCTAATACACTTTTTTTTTTCCTGCTCTCGTTTCCAAGGTCGGATTCTGGACATCCCGTGTAAAGTGTGTGGAGATCGCAGCTCAGGGAAACACTACGGGGTCTACGCCTGCGACGGCTGCTCGGGATTCTTCAAGAGGAGCATCCGCAGGAACCGGACCTACGTGTGTAAATCTGGCTCCCAGGTGAAGCCTCGTTATCCCCTTCTTAACTGGTTTATTATCGATCTTCGTGCAGGTCTGAACTGATTGTGGCCATTTATGTCACGTTTTCGACCAATTTTCTTTTCAGGGGTTTTCTAAAAATCCGTGCAAGTATAAAAAAACATTTCAGTATTTTTTCGATAAACATGTGCCATGATTAAATGTTTGAGTTTTACGCACAGCGCTTTACGCACGAAATGCGCATTTACGCACTTTCTCCCCCACCTAAACACACTCGCGCGCGCACTCTCTCTCTCCCTCTGCCTTTTTTTGTGGCTGTTTTAAATCTTCCTTGATGAGCCTAATTGTGTCATGCCTGCACCATTAAGCCCCGCACCTAAACACAGCGCTGCTCCAACATCAGGTGTAATCCAATCTAATGCGCTGACTCCAAGGAGAGGATTTAGGCGGCAGAGGGCGGGATCGAGCACTTATCCTGCGGGATGAGGCCCGCACTAGAGCCGCGGGGAAGCAGCTCTGTAACCACAAGATAATAGCACGATCTTTTACCTGCAGATTTGCCTCCCGGGTGGATAATGGCGAGAGGCTTCCGCTCTAACTCAACCTCTTTCCCCCTCCCTTCCCCCTCCCCTCGGTGTGTCTGTGCGCAGGGTGGTTGTCCCGTGGACAAAACTCACAGGAACCAGTGCCGAGCGTGTCGCTTGAAAAAGTGTCTGGAAGTGAACATGAATAAAGACGGTAAATGGACTTAATTTAATTATCGCTTTAGACTATAGCAACGCCGTGTGGCGTTTGGGTTCGAGGTGCAACCCGGCAGAAAAAAAAAAAAGTTTAGCAGGGCTGTTAATCAAGAGCTGACCTGTTGCCTGCTTGTTTTAAGAGATTATTTCTACTCGGAGCTCTAATTTAAGCTCATTACTGTCAGGTTTTTGCTCCTTTACGCACAGAATAGCATTTAATCCATACATTTGTCAACTTTTTAATAAAACAAGTTAAAACGCACACGAGATAAATAAATAAAAATAAAGGGGGGGGGGGGGGGTCGCTCCTGCAGAAACTATCCGTGACTCTGTTGTTCCGATTCACAGCCGTTCAGCACGAAAGGGGCCCCCGGACGTCCACCATCCGCAAACAAGTTGCCCTTTATTTCCGGGGCCACAAAGAGGTGAACGGCTCCTCGGCCCATTTCCCGGCGTCCTCTCTGCCCGGGCCGCCCTTCTTCACCACCGTCACGCAGCTGGAGCCCCACAGCCTGGAGATGAGCTCGGTGGCCACCACGCCGGAAAGACAGGCCATTGTGGGTCTGGCACAACCCACTCCAAAGGTGAGGCACTTTTTAAAAATCATCATGACCTATCAACTGGATGTTTGTACGTTTGCACCTTCAGCTCATTCCTTGTGTAGATTTTATGTGAAATGTATCCCGAGGTGATAAAGTTTTAATTATGCTATTATGGGATGTATTTTTTTTTTCCCCCTTGGGGGTTAGAAGTTGACATTCTTGTTCAGATTTAGAAGCACAAATCCGCCAATTAGATTTTATTCCCAGTAAATCCAGCGCAAGCAACACTAATCACAAAATCAGGTGCTGGAGCTTGGAGTTTGATCTCTTAACTCGTTATTGGCCCGCACGTGGTTGCTGTTTGTTTATATTGTTTTAAGGATGGTCATTTATTTTAAACCCCCCCCCCCCTGCAGTATCCCCACGAGGTCACCGGCACCCCCATGTACCTGTACGAGGTGGCGACGGAATCTGTGTGCGAGTCGGCCGCGCGCCTCCTCTTCATGAGCATCAAGTGGGCCAAAAGTGTCCCCGCCTTCTCCACCCTCCCTTTATCTGATCAGGTAAGACCCGCACGAGCTGCTGGAGGAGTTCCACTTTTAACTAGAACTCCAAATCCTGTTCGAAGGCTCTACAGCGCACAATAAATAAATAAATAAATAAATAAATAAGAGGGATTTAAGATTTTATGCCTCTCTTTAAAAAAAAAAAAAAAAAAAAAAGGGAAGTGCCTTCAACAGTAAATTGTTCTTTATGTAATTAAAAAAAAAACAAGTCTCACACATTTCTTTGTGAATTTATTCCAAACTAAATCTCCTCACAGCTGATTCTGCTGGAGGACGCTTGGAGAGAACTTTTCGTTTTGGGTATCGCGCAGTGGGCCATTCCCGTGGACTCCACCACGCTCCTCGCTGTCTCAGGTGCGTGCAGCGCCACTTATTCTGGGTTTGCACGTGCGCTTCAGTCATCCCCATGTATATTTTCTTCAACTCAAAAAGGGATGAACAGTGAAAACACGGAGTCTCAGCGGATGAACAAGATCATGGCTGAGATCCAAGCGCTGCAGGAGGTGGTCACCAGGTTCCGGCAGATGCGTCTCGACGCAACAGAGTTCGCCTGTTTGAAATGCATCGTGACATTCAAAGCAGGTGCGCGCTCTTATTGTACAGTCTCATTCATTTCGTGTCCACGCGTGTTGCGCAACGAACTGAGCAAGCTTTGGTGTTTGTAGTTCCCACGCAAGGAAGCACTGAATTAAGAAGTTTCCGCAACGCCAGCGCCATCGCAGCACTACAAGATGAAGCCCAGCTCACCCTCAACAGCTACATCCACACCAGGTGAGCTCCTCCTCAGCGCTTCATGCTTTTGCGCATGCGTAAAAACTGTCCAATTTGGCACAGCTGGCGCTTATAATTGGCAGTTGTGTGCGTGAGGCCTCAGACAGCAGACTTGTTTGTTTGTTGACTTGAGTTTCTCTGTGTCCAGGTACCCGACTCAGCCCTGCCGCTTCGGGAAGCTGCTGCTGCTCCTCCCCGCGCTCCGCTCCGTCAGCCCGTCCACCATAGAGGAGGTGTTCTTCAAAAAGACCATTGGAAACGTGCCCATCACCAGACTCCTCTCGGACATGTACAAGTCCAGCGATATATGAACTCGGGTGTGGGGGGTAGAGACAAAGACTCGGGTCATGGCAGGTGCAGAACTCTTAGTGTAGCTTCTATAAAATCAGCTGCAACAAAAATACCCCGTTATCACAAGTTTAGTCAGTTAACAGCTGCTCTATAGGTAAAATAAATCATAGACCGCTTTTATCATCCAGAAACTGCAGGTTTTTATTTTATTTAAATGTCACCATAGGACTCTGAAACCTGCAGAGTCCGTTTGACACCCACTTGTTCTGTATTCTCTTTGTAAGCCTCTCTGAGACCAATGAGCCTGTCGACCAACTCAAACTTTAATTGCTCTTCAATCCCAACCGAGGAAAACCAAAAGAAAGATGGCGCATGCGCAGCGAGGACGTGCGTCGCTGTTCCTCGGTCCAGTGCTGAAACCAAACACGCAGAGAGGTTCCGGCTCTATGAAGAACTGTTGAACGAAAACTAATGAATGAATAAAACTTTTAAGGGGAGGCTGCTTTTCCCTCCTGACTGTAAAAACGACGCATCAGAAGGTGTTTGTGTGTTTCAGCGGCTGCTCGCCCCGTTTGTTCTGTTTGAGGCGCAGCGTTAAAAATGTTTCAAGATACACTAACACCAGAGAAAATAATATCCAGCACTAGGATTTATTCTTTTTTTTTGTGGCCTGTGGTGTTTTAAAATGTTGTAAATATGGTTATAACTAAACTCGGCACAAAAAGGACATTTGTTTGATTTATTTCTTTGACACAAATCCTTTACAGTACCTGATTAAATTTAGCCATACTGTATTTGCTGAGTAAATGCATATGCGGGATGATTTTTTTAAATTAATTTAATAATAGGTTTGAAGAGACATGTTGGCAATTTATCAATTTGTCTTAACAAAAGGGGCCTCGGTTGCATGTGGAAGAACCATACACAGCCACCTCTTTATGCTGCTCACTGCAGCTTGGTCACACTGCTGTGGGGGCGGCAGCCCATTCTTCAACCAGCGTTTGTCACAGTTCAGTCAGTGTGGTTGTGCTGGTCATTGTGGAGCAAATATCATGCACGTGTACTGAAGCTGTTCAGTGGGGTTGAGGTCACAACTGCAGTCCTCTCCACTCCCCAATTCTGCAGGTAGTCTCGTATAAACCCCACTCTGCAGAGGTAAGTGTCATCTTGGAGAGTAGATGTTGATCCCAGAATGTGTTGATATGAGATCGCCACCGGTTGCTCACAACAGGCACCAACCAGACACCTGATTGTGATTCCAGTGGCACAAACCACAACTGCGTTTTCCTGTCAAACGTGGCACAATTTAAGGAAAATGTACAGACCTACTAACAATAAGCTTTTAGTTGTTTTTTTGCCAAGATGCATTATGACAAAGAAATGATCTAATGTATTTCCTTTTTGTGCTACACTTGTTTAAAGTTGTAAGCAAGAGAATAAAGAGTCTGAATCCCCTGCTTTTATAAAGTTTAGCTGCGTCCGCAGAAATTTCAACACTAAGTTACTGCATATCGACAATTTTCTCCATCGTAGATTTTTTTTTTTTTTTAAGATTACACTTCCAAGTGTTTAAAGTGTGACATATTGCGTCCATGCATGGAATGTGAAACTTTAAAGCCAATTTGGAAATAATTACATTTAGCTTTATGGATAAGGGTAATTTAATTGTCCCATTATATTTGCCTTTCGATCAATAGAAATATCCCGACCTTTAAAAGAGCAGGAAAAAGCTGTTAAGACGTTTTTGTTTTTTTGGCATTTTGATATCTTAAACGGTACCCACTGCACAATAAGAAAACAAAGGTTTCCTGATCTACATTAAATGACTGAGTTTGAAAGTTTAGTCCAGTGGTTTTCCAGATAAATCCAGATATGTACACAATGTAAACAAAGTGCCATTATCACACTTTACTCAACAAACCTGAGCATAAATGCATACTAGTACATCAAAACTCAAACTTTCTAATCCCAAATGGCTTCTTCTATGGCCATTGTTGACCAGTCTTCAGTTATTTGGACTGTTCCTGTAGATGAACGTTGGTAGTTGTTCACAATTTTTTTTTTTTAAATTTAGGAACATATTGACCAGCACTCGGATACAAATAGTAGACTTTATTTTACTTTGATTTTTTCTTTATTTTTTTTTTATACCAGTCTTCAAGACTGTAAAAGTACCTTTGAAAAGGCCATTTTGTGCTACTAAATTTCATCCAAGACTGGTGGCATGAATGAAGACGGGGGTTATAAAAGTTCATAAAACACATCAACTTTGGTTTTATGCCCAGTCATGTATCAAGTTTAATATTGTTCAAGCACATTTTGTTTATTGCAGAAGTTGCCCTGTTAATTTGATTAACAAAAAACTCATGGTTGTTATTAAGCTCTCTGAATAGTCAAGGCTTCCAAGATGGATAATATTCCCATTAAATAACATAAGCAGCAACACATTAAGTGAAGCTGTACTGGTTTTGGCAGCACTGTTGTTGCACAGAGTGTTAAAAGCGAGCGGCACAACGAGCGAGAGTAGTCCAAGTGAACAAATGGACGTACGCATGGCGACATTTCACCGATTTTATTGGAAAATCTTCAAAATAAACAAAAATGGCACAGCAGTATACAAATCTCAAAATGCATAAAGCCAGTAGAAATACTGCAGTTCCTTCTGTGTAAATTGCTTGCTAGAAAACATTGTGACAACTGGGCAGGTGCTGGTTGTGACAAACACGCATACACGCGCGCACGCACATGCTTCCATTTGAAGACGAGTCAGGGTCCATCATCAGATGTGTGCATGCGTGTTTAGTTATGAGCAACATGCCAGACCTCGATGGCAAACGCTGCGGCTCATTACAAAAGCTTTGCATACAGAGAAACTTTAATAAATGATAACATATAAACTAATATATTCAGGACATGGCTAAATGATAAATACATTATATATATAGATATATATCTATCTATCTATATATATATATATATATGTGTGTGTGTTAGTGGCATTTCCAGACATAAAGAGATTGAACTATAAATCACTTTGTGTAGAACATTCTTGATTCCAACTAAAGGGTGACAACAATCAGAGTTAGTAATTAGACTCAGGCAACAAATCAGAAGATTTTAGGGGCTGTGAGGAGAAACTGCCACTTTTATTTGTCTGGGAGAAACCTGGAGAGAGCTTTGGCTTGAGATGGGCAGAGCAGAGCCAGACCGGACCGGACCAGACCAAGAAGAGCCATTGCTTTTTCTGTTCAGGCTTGTCTGATTTTGGACGGGGTGTAGCTCTTGTCCACAATCTCATCTTGTAGAAACATGTGCAGGCAGCGTTCGTTCTGAGCAAGAGGGTGACCGGCCACTCTGAAACGAACAGAGGAAAACACATTACAGCGATGGATGGACAAAACATTTTGTTTTGAAAATAAGAACACAAACTAAATAACAGAACTAGTGGCGTACAAACAAAAACAATCCAAGACCTCCAATTGATATGAAGAACATTTGGTTTTGCTTGCGTGCATCGTTTACAATCTACAACAGGCAAGACAAAAGTATAAAAAGCGACAATCAAAATAGCCAAGGATGGATTTTTAACTTTTTTCACTGAATCCCATTAAGACAGGCCAATCAAAAAACTGTTTAAATAAAGCAAGCAGTTTTATTTCCCAAGACTATAGACATGTATCCCAGCGCTGTGTCACATGTTTTGGCTCCATATGGTTAAAAGACATTTTGTTTTATTAATTTGTGACCAGATCTGTGTGTGGATATTTGTGCCATTTTTCAAAATGTACTGTACAAGCTTGGATCATTTTCATTGTTATGCTGATGATACAGTTATATTTGTCCATGAAACCCAATGAATCCAATCAGCTACTTAGACTACGAGCTTGATCAAGCTGATACTTGATCAGGACATGTCTTTTAACCCCCACATTAAAAACATTACTAGAACCACGTTCTTCCACCTATGTAATTTTGCTAAAATTAGAAACATCTTATCTAAAAATGATGCAGAAAAACTGGTTCATGCATTTGTCACGTCTAGACTGGACTATTGCAATGGTTTATTATCTGGGTGTCCAAATACTTCTTTAAAAAGTCTTCAATTAATCCAAAATGTTGCTGCCAGAGTCTTAACTGGAGTTAGTAGGAGAGATTATATCACTCCAGTTTTAGCTTCTCTCCACTGGCTTCCTGTCAAATCCAGAATTTAATTTAAAATCTTACTTCTAACATACAAAGCCCTCAACAACCTAGCTCCATCCTATATTACAGATCTGATTGTTCCATATTTTCCTAACAGAGCACTTTGCTCTCAGACTGCAGGTTTACTTGTGGTTCCTAGAGTTTCCAAAAGCAGAACGAGAGGAAGAGCTTTCAGTTATCAGGCTCCTCTCTTGTGGAACCAACTTGCAGTTTCTGTCCGTGAGGCTGACACGTATCCAGTTTTAAGACTTTCCTTTTTGATAAATCCTATAGTTAGGGCTGGCTCATTATGCTGCCTTAAGTTTAGACTACTAGAGGACAAATTGTAAAAAAAATTCTTAAAATGAATTTGTTAAAATTGAATAGTTTTCATTTGGTACCATTTTTATTTTACCATGTGATTCTTAAGGGAGTTTTTCCTTTCCACTGTCGCCTTCATGCTTGCTCAAGATGAGTCTGTGATACAAGTTAAACTCAAAGCAGTCTGCCCCTCAGATAAATAGTGTTATTAACTTATTTTTATATATGAATGTTTCTGTTCAGTGCCCTGAGATGACTTCTGTTGTGACTTGGTGCTATTTAAATAAACTGAATTGATCAGGGGCAGCACGGTGGTGCAACTGGTAGAGCTGCTGCCTCTCAGCGAGTAGGTCCTTGGTTCAAACCCCGGTCCAGGGGCCTCCTGGGTGGAGTTTGCATGTTCTCTCCGTGCATGCGTGGGTTTTCTCCAGGTACTCCGGTTTCCTCCCACAGACCAAAAACATGCATGTTAGGCTGATTGGTAACTCTAAATTGTCCCTAGGTGTGAGTGAGAGAGTGAATGGTTGTTTGTCTCGTTTGTCTCTATGTGTCCCTGTGATGGACTGGAGACCCATCCAGGGTGTACCCCGCCCCTCGCACAGTGATAGCTGGACATGGGCACCAGCGACCCCCGTGACCCAAAATGGAATAAGCGGGTAAAGATAATGGATGGATGGATGAATTGATCAGTGAAGTTACATAGAGTCACAATTTTCAGATTAAATAAATGAAGGTTTGCTTGTGGTTCCTAAAGTTGAATGAGAGGCTTCTCTCGAGCTGAAACAGATCCCGGTGTGGTCATCATACTTTAATTCAAAGAGTTTATACTGTTTTCTTTTTTGATAAAGTTTATAGGTTTTATCACGGGTTCAAAACCCAATTACAGCCTTTGAAAGATGAGCACCAGCTCCCTGCAACCCTGCATGGAATAAGAGGGTAAAGTAAAATGGAAGAATTGGACTTTATAGTTCGTGTTTGCTTGGGTGTCTCCGAGCTATCCTATGAGTTAGTTCCTTTTATGTACTGAGCAGGTCTCAACACCATTTTTTTATTTTTCAGTTTCTTCATTCTCCACATACAGTATATCTATTCAGTGACTTTCGTTTAGTCATTTTGTTTTTCTTCTTTTCTCTTTGTAGCAGAATTGCTGATCTGGTGCTTTTGTGTTTATTATGTGCCTTTCCTGTCGTCTTCACCCTTGTATGAGTTTTATTCTGTTGGAGGTCCCTTGAAGCTGAAAGGGAATTTTAATAGAGGTTGTCATTTGCAACCTTATGAATGCTCAGAACAGGAAAAAAAAAAAAAAAAACTGATGTAAAATTTTGAAACTGTTCATTAATTATTTTTAAAGAGCACATTAAATTATTGATACACTGAATCTGGGCTGAATTATATCGGTACCTGCACTGAAGTTTGTGACTGAATGAGACATGAATCGATTTAGTTTTTTGTTTTCCACAGTTTTGCACCTGGGAGAAAATTTTGTTTAAGTAAAATAAAAATAAAAAAACCACAAACAAAACAAACACACAATTGACTTGTACCACTAAGCCACAGTCTCCTAAAGTCAACATTTAATTCAAATAGCTCATCCAATCAATGTCATTTAACTTATCCTGAATAGAGGAACTGCATTATATTGTGCACTTGAACTATCTTGTTAAAAATCTTCACATTTTATAGAACTTTGTCACACATTGGTAACTGGATGTGGCCATGTTCACAAATCATTTTCATTTCAAGTCCAGGACAGAAGAATGAAACTCATAATTCGTAACAAAAGTTTAGTCCTTAAGAATAAAACACGGTAAACTCAACAAGGTCATGTTTCAGTTTGAAAAATGATGGGATGCTGCATGACTTAAGCAAAGCAAGTTTTAGCTGGATCTTCAGTGTATGATGCTTTCAACAGCATCAATTCATTTGGATAGTTATAGTTTTTAAATTTCATCTGGGCCTACTATACTTATACAAAGTCTTTGAATCAAAGATTTTACACATTTATGTCGAGGCACCAAACTTCAGTACAGCTGCAATGAAAATATCCTCTGTTGGCATTAAATCTGTCGATCTAGTTAAACCTTTAATTTTCAACCCAATGGCAGCCAAAGAAACTGAAGATGGCCCTCAGAAGGTCATGGAAAAAAACTTGTAGTGACCCAACATGAGCAGCGGATTACAATTAATCTAAAGTGAAATTAGCCTGGAACTGGCTTTTCTGCTGTTAAACCCAGTTTGACATCAAGTTTACCTAAATGTCTTTTCAGATGACGCATAACGAGAATGAACCAGAACACCTGAGACTCCAAAACATCTGGTTGTTTTTTAAAATGCTAAATGACTCAGAGAAAAATTAACGTTGCACACATGTACGCATCTTAACCTCTGATGGGAATATTTCCAAAGGAAGCAGCACAGAATGATCTGCAGGTCAGATACCAGTTAAATCATTTAGTAGTGGTGGTGGTGGTGGGGGGGGGGGGTCCTAATAACCCTAACAAACCCTCCTTAATCACTTTGGAAATATTGGCAGTGCATACAAGAGGCAACAGAAACAGAACCGTTCCTTTTTACCTGAAGCTTTGATCGTGTTTAACTGGCCTAATCAAAAACTGATCGTCGTCTCTTCTCTTCCCCATTACTTGTTTCAAAGCAACAATCATCCTTCCAAAAGAATTACTCTCCACAATGCTCTCAATCATAAACGGAACAATACTGACGGCTACACCGGCCAGGACTAAATCACTGAACAATAATATGATCAACAGCAGGGTTTCACTCTCAGAAAGCAAGAGGTGGTGGTGTGGGGGTATAAATCCTGATAGTGTGAATGTTTATGAAGCATTCACACTATTTCACACTATTCACACTATTGTGATCCATTTTTCTTCCGTACGTTTTTCAGCATCTTTCTCGTTCCACAATTTCTGTGCCATTTCAACAAATCGTATATCAAAAAAAAAATTCAGCTCATTCAGGAGAAGGGTGATATGACTTTTGGTATTGGTGCAACTTTAGCTTTTTTGAAATATTTAGCCTTTCCTGCCATTTTTTTCCTCATAGAAAATGAATTGAGCTCATTTTACATCCTTCAAATCTTCAGATCTGTTTACAAACTTTTACTGCTCCTTTCACAGTTTGTTCTGGTTCAGCTTCCTTCAGCTTCCTTGTGCAAATTTAAAAATATTTTCCAGCTACTTTCAGCTGGGATTTTTTTCAGCTATTTTGTGCTCTTTTCAGATTCTTTCTGCTAACTACAACATTTTTGTACTTCTAACTTCTTTCTGCTAATTTAAACTTTTTAAGCTCCTTTCAACTTCTTTATGACAGTTTCAGCTTTTTCTGCTATTTCAGCTACTATTTAGCAGTTATGCTAAATAATTTTTTTCCAGCTAATTCCACGTTTTGCACTCATTTCAACTTTTTTCAGCCCATTTCAGCAAAAATGTACTCTCTTCACTTTCTTCTGATAATTTAAGCTTCTTTCTGCTTTTTACCTACTTTTCAGCCGTTTCTTTATTTTGTTGTTGCTAATTTCAGCTTTTTTTGTTTTAGATAATTTCTACTTTTTGTGCTCATGTATGCTTCTTTAAGCCTAATTGGGCAGATGTTATTTCTGCTTTCTTATGCTAATTTAAGCTAGTTCTAACGTTTCAACTAGCTTTTTAGCATTTTTAAGCAAAGTTCAGCTGTTTCCAGATAAATTCAAGTTTTCATATAAATTTCTGCTACTTTCAGCCTACGTAACATATTCATGCTAATTTCAGCTTGTTGTGCTCCTTTCAGCTTTTTTCTGCTGGTTTCAGCTTTCTCTGCTCTTTCAACTACTATTTAACTCTTGATGCTAATTTTAGCTTTTTCAGCAAATTCCACTTTTTTTTAAATTGTTTTAGCTCATTAGCTCATTTAAATTCTTTCCGCTTCCTACTGATAAGTTTAAGCTTCTTTTTGTCTTTTCAGCTATTTTACAGGGTTTTTTTTGTTGCTAATTTCAGCCTTTTTTAGTTAATTTACTATTTTTGGTCGAATTTCTGCTTATTTAAACATAATTCAGCAAATGTGTGTTCTTTCTGCTTTCTTCTGCTAACTTGGGCTTGTTCTTCCATTTCAACTATATTTCAGAACATTTTTTTTTTAGCTAATTTCAGCTGTTGTTCAGCAAATTCTTCAGCAACAAGTATTCACACTGCATTTCGTAGGAAATGCAATTTCTCTAATTACCAAATCATTCTCATCTGCTTAAAAAAACAATTTAAAGATTTTAATTTTCAAAACTGTCTTTACACACTTAATATTCCAACAGGAAACATTGGTGCATTTGCACATGAAACAAAGATAATGGCCAAGTCTGCAATCAAAGCAAATGATTACAATTGCACGGTAACTTTTATTGTTCGGCGGCTGAAAACGAAGACACGCTGGATCAAAAATAAGCAGAGGTGCACACACCATCCCGCGGAACCACGCGCTGTAATTTGAGCTGCAATTAACATAAATTACACATCAACAACAAAACAAATGTGGGAAAAAAAATTATGTTGTGGGGGTGCGCACTTGAATCCTCTTTGGTTTTCTTGTCCTTTGCGAGGTAATTATGAAGGAGAATTAAGGAGGATAGTGAGAAACGAGACAGGCTGTTTCTGAGGGTTCACTTTGTTAACAATGTAAGGAGAAGTGAAAAAGTTGGATGTAGTTACCGCACAAAAGTGCTTTTGTTCTCCAAGGTTAAACCAACACCAACCTAAGGCACAAGCTGCAAACAACTGCAGCTGTAAAGCTTGGACAGAATAACTGAAACTTTCCTGTTAAAACGATAAAAGAAACTTGAGATAGACCGGCTTACTTGTTGAGAAACTGCTCCAGTCCATGCCTCCGCTCTTCGATGAAAGAGTCATCAAATATGCCGTCGTCTCCTCTAAACGGAAGCTGACGGAAAAGAGCTTTTCCTGGGAGAGGTGGAACGACCACCTAAGAAAACAAAGAGTCCACAGGTGTTTGTTTTAAAAGAAGCAGGTTTAAAAACATAAATCGTTTTTAAACAGTGGGGGTGAAAAACTGGAGAACAGAACATTGTTGGAACATTTTTTTGAGCCTACAAACTACATTCTGAAAACAATTAACTCCGAGGTCTCAAATTGCTCTTTTGGACACTTTTTCCTTGTGATTTAAAACACGGTGGTCAGCAGAATCAGCTGATTTGATAAGTACTCGGCAGCTTCTTTGTGTTGAATTCACTTCAGTAACTCACCTTGCTTTCTCTCTCCAGCTCCGCTCTGAGCCACTCAAAGTCGCTGTATCGCCGCCGTACACAAGACTCCTTCAGCTTGAAGATTGGTAGGTTGGTCTGAGGGAAACATCACAGCAGCATCAGTATCACCAAGAACTTGTTTCATTTACCAGAACTACAGTTTTGGAACTGTTGGGTCTCTTGTTCATTTGGAATTTATATATTAACACTACTTTACTGTACTGTTTTTATTTTATTGTAAAAACTGAAAAAAAGTCACAGTTGCCAAGTGTACATTTATAAATGAGGCTGTACAGACTAGTTTATTTTACCGTTATTATATTTTGCAGTAACTACAGTAGTTCCTTGCTACTTCGCAGTTCGACTTTCGCGGACTCGCTCTATCACCGTCTGTGGACGTACAGTCCATATGGTACAAAAAAAAAAAAAAAAAAAAAAGGTACAGGACACAATTGTCAACTTTAACATTACTCATGTGATTGGGACAGTATTGGATACAGTACTGTACAGTAAAAGGATGCAGAGAATCTGCACTGAACCCAGCAAACCGGACCAGAACCAGACCTCCAGACCCATCGGTGAATCTTCAGAGCTGGTAGCCGGCCCACGTGGACTTCTAAGCGCGGACACGCGCCGAAGGTCCGGAGCCATTTTTGTAGTCCATAGGGAATATTTTCTTTCAGACTTGGACTCAATCCACCACCTACGGTCTCATGCCGTCCAACAGAAGGTCTGCCCTCCCCCTGTACGTGCTTCAGCGTGCAAGAGCTGCAATTAACTGGACCAGAACCAGACCTCCACATTCAGTGATGAACCTGAAAGCTCCTGGGACACCCTTGTAAGTAAAATGTATTAGCTACATACGAGTATGTTGTTAAAATTAGCAGGTTTAAGAGTTTAGAAGATTGATTGTGGGCTTCATCGCTGCAGGTTAGGTCTGCAGAAACGAGCCGAGATGGACCAGAACAATCAAACCAGAACCGAGAGCTGCTGCTGCTGCGTTCCGCAGAGCTGGTGAGTAAAATTTAGTAGCTACATATATAGTACTGTACGTATGTTGTTGAAATGATGTGGGTTTAAGAGTTTAGAACAGACTGTGGGAAGGGTTTTTAAAGCCTTAATAAATAAACATAGCATCCATACTTCAGTTTTTCACGTATCGCCGGGGGAGGGAGCTGGAACCTACCCCCTGCAATAAACGAGGGACTACTGTATATCCATAAGTTTCTTTTTTTATACTTTATATTTTTTCTATTTTGGGGTGCAACTGTGACACGGAGTACACAATTTCATTCCACCTCATGTACCACATGTGATGCAAATGACAAAGAAAGAATCTTGCACTTGAAATTGAACAATATGGCAAAGAATTAATAACAAATAATACATCATAAAAATGCATGTCAATAATATATTTTACCATCAGATGTCCTCCCACTGCCCTAAATGCTCTCAGTTGATTTAAAAAGACAGTGGCCAAAATGCTAAAACACAAGAAGAGTGGTGAGTAGTTATACCAACTTATAGTCATTGCAATATTCAATAATTATAATCCTGTAGTTTTCTAATATTGTGCAACCTTCAATATAGATATTTATTGGTATGAAGTTGCAGGAACACCATGACTTTAATTATTGATTTATTACATTTTTAAGGTTATTCAAATTCATACATCCATAATTATGATCTGCTTTAACAAGTTACTAGCTGTGTATTAGTACTACTACTAGTAGTACTACTACTAGCACCATGGTGACTTGTTGAAACTGGCTTTTCTACCCCAATCCAGCTTCAACAATTAGAAGCTCTAGTACAATTTAATGTGCTCAAAACATACAGCAGAAAATGATATCCTTGTAAGAAGTTGTGCTAACTTGAAATACTAAATGAACTAAAAATATTTCTCCCCTGGGATTAATAAAGTATCTATCTATCTATAAGGTTAAAGGAAAAAATGGTGAAAGGAAAACAAAAGCCAACTTCAAACTCAAAAAAGCTAATGGAAAAATTTAATCGAGCCAAAAATAAAATAAAAAGAAATAGAAAAAGGTTAACTTATGTTTCCATCTATATTTTGCTCACCAAGGTCTTCATCATTAAAAACGCTTCACCATCTTTTGTGTGTGTGTTCATGTACATCAGTACACACACGTGTACATAATTCAAAGCTGCTGTTGACGAGCACTTGAGAGTGAATTTCACATTAAAAGAGGAAGATGTTTCGACATTGACGGGAACAGTGAAGCAAACAGCAAATTACAGCACAATGCCAAACCTCTTCACCCGTCCTGACGGTACATGGCCATCCTGAGACAATGTACAAACAAGGAGGGTTTGAATGAGCATTTCATGGGCAGGCCCCATCCGCAGAAGGTCAGAATTCAGGGAAAAAAGGCAGCACAAAAGCAAGGCAATTGAGAAAGTAGGTGCAGAATGAATACAGCGTGAGCAGCAGCCTGATCGATGAGCAGACGACTGTGACTGTGTGCGGCAAATGAGATAGAGAGTTAACAAGAAGCCTAAGTAAATGGTGGAACAAAAGAGGAATGAGAGGGTATATGTGGTCATAAAGGAAGAGCAAGATGACTGGAGAGGTTGGGAGCTCTGTCTGCTCTGTGCAGGACTAAATGAGGAGGGAGGGAGGGCAGGAGTGGTCTTTTTGCTCTCATGGTCTCTTTTCAGTCTTCTTCATTTCCCTTGATCTGCAAAACAAGTCAGATTTCCTGCCCTTGAGACTCTTGTGGTGTTCAATGAAGAAAATACAGGCGTTTGTTTTCATCCCCATGTTCTGTCCTCTTCCAGGCTTTAAAAACTTAATAGATTTAAGACAAATTTGATAGAAATCTAATGCAAGGGAGAATATTTACATACAATGTTTTGTCTGATGAGCTAGAATTGTTACTTATGCTCATTTACTTTTAAATAAAAGAAGCAAATAGCCTACAAAATTAGCTCTTTTACACTTATTCGAATATGAACTAAAACTAATGTCAGATGCCCTGAGTTTTACAAATATTTAAAAAAAATCACTGCAAAAGAACCAGTAAAGTATGCAATCAGTATTGGTTGCATTATTACTTGTTACATCATTTCCTTAAAGTTGTATACCTATATTAGAAAAAAATAATAATTGTGACAGTATAGTTTAACAGCATGTTAGAAATTGCTCTCTATATTTTTTTCTTCATCCTGAGTTTGTTCTTTCTTCCTCTAAATATGCTGGGCATTGCTGATTTTTAAGTGATTGTGATAATGGAAAAGTCCTGTTCTTGTGCCCTCATGTTTTCAGTCATGTGCAAAAAAATAATGATATTATTCTGCATGCTTATTTAAAAAGAAAATTATTTACTCAGTTTCTGACTGAATTCAAATGTACCAACACTACTTTACATGGAGCACTTGATTTTATTTTTTCCAACTTCCAGCAGCAAAGAAGGCTCTGTTATCTATCTGTCATACTTTCAACCAAAAGTCTGACAGATTACCAATATATTGTTAGCTAGAATATCTTAGATCCTTATATACTGTTCCTTTTTATACTGTATATTTTTGCTATTTTTGGGTGTAACTGGGAACCTGAGTACATAATTTTGTTCCACCTCATGTATCACATGTGATGTGAATGACAATAAACTTCATCCATCCATCCATCCATCCATTATCTTTACCCGTTTGTTCCATTTTGGGTCACGGGGGTCGCTGGTGCCCATGTCCAGCAATCACTGTGCGAGAGGCGGGGTACACCCTGGACGGGTCGCAAGTCCATCACAGGGCCACATAGAGACAAACGAGACAACCATTCACTCTCTCACTCACACCTAGGGACAATTTAGAGTTACCAATCAGCCTAACATGCATGTTTTTGGTCTGTGGGAGGAAACCAGAGCACCCGGAGAAAACCCACGCATGCACAGAGAGAACATGCAAACTCCACCCAGAAAGGCCCCTGGACCGGGGTTTGAACCAGGGACCTGCTAGCTGAGAGGCAGCAGCTCTACCAGTTGCGCCACCGTGCTGCCCACAATAAACTTGAACTATAGTTCTTTGAAATTTGAATCTGCAAATTTTTATAAAAATTTTGCACCAGAACCGAAAGCTTCAACAGATACAGTAGTCCCTCGCCACTTTGCAGTTTGACACTTGTGGACACTCGCTCTGTCGCAGTTTTTCAACAATTGTCAACTTTAGTATTACTCACGTGATTGGGACATATGGGATAAAAAGTTAATGAAAAAATACTTCAGACAGGCGCCACTGTTTTGTAGTTTTCTTTCAATAAGCCTATTCTGTAATGCCATTCAAAACTAACTACACTACCCAGAAGCCACCAGTGCTTCCAGCTTCTGCTTTCTGCTGAAATGGAGGGAAAGTTTTGCAATGGAAATCTACATATCCATTAAGCTCACAAAACTGGCAGGAAAGTTGCAAATAATCCTGAAGTTCTATTATCCACGCGCACATCAACTTGTATGGGGTGGTGGGCTTTGACGCTGCAGGGTAGGTCTCTGCAGAACCAGAACAGAGCCGGACCGGAACAGAGCTTCTGATATGCAGAGCTGGTGAGTAAAAGTTTTCAGTACTGTGCAGTACATACAAGTATGTTGTTAATATTACATAGGTTTAAGAAATTAGAACATTTCAAGAGTGTCTGAAGGGTTTATAAAGTCTTAAAATATATATAAATACTAAAATAAAAATAGTGTTTCTAGTTTGCAGTTTTTCACTTATTGCAGGAATGTGACCCCCGCAATAAACGAGGGACTACAGCACATCACAAATATCAAGAATCAGAAATGTAGATTTGCAGTGAACAATCTTCAAGTCAGAGCTTACAAGACTTTAATAAGGCGTCATCTCATCTCTACACGTCTTTTGATCCGAGTTGTGGACAAAGTTTTTTTTTTTTTCTTCTTTTCTTCTTCCTTCGGCTGCTCCCTGCGTCGCCACAGCGAACTAAGTCGCACGAAGACATGACAATTATTTTTACGCCGGATGCCCTTCCTGATGCAACCACAGACCACCGAGCTACCACAGCCCTCTGTGTGGAGCAGAGAGCTGCAGCTAGGACACCCTGAGAAACAGATGGTGGGGGTTAA